CTATTAAATAAAATAATTTAACATAAATTGTCAGAACATTTATTGCTTGGAATAAAGCTTCAAATTTAACGTGATATCACTTATATCATGATCGGCAAGTGATCGACATTGTGATATAATGCATGTCCGCCCTGTTTCCGTCACGCAGCATAGCGGACATCCCTATTTTATCACAATTTTGATGATCATTTGTCGATCATTTGCTGATCATTTATTCAGTTATATCACATAATATAAATGCTGTTGATATACTAATTTGTCGAAAAAGTCAATAATTTTGGAAGTACAAGTAACTAAAGATAGCAGTCTCCTACAGTCCTACAGTACATACAAAAGGTTCACGTAGGACCGCAGTCTTTTATGATCATGACAGCTATTTGTAAGACGGAGTGACTGCTATCTTTAGCTACTTGTACTTCCAAATTATTACCTTTTTCGAGACCATGCTCAATACCAAATATTGTTAACACAGTCGCACAGAATCATGATGAAAAATAATACTAAAAGTATTGTCTAAATGAAAATCTATTGTATGTAGTTATCGTTATAAGATTTAGGTGCTTGTTTCAAGTGTGAACCGCAAAATTTGGCGTATTGTAGATCAATTGCTATTATGTTCTAAACACGGAGATGCACAATATTAAAAATCTTTCAACTCAAAAGTTTGAAATCTATGAAAAAGGTATAAATAAACAAAAAATTTTCTTATAAAGTCAAAAAGAATAAAACAAGCCTTAAAATTCAATCAATTCAATCAAAAAAAAAAGACTTTTGATAATTTTTTTTTACATATTAAACCCTTAAAATCAATTAAATTCTTTAAATTTCCCAACAAAATGAATCAAACTGAAGTTATCATTAAACTATCTATTCCATCTATCGCAACTGCTGGAGTCACTGAAGGTCCTAATCCTAATCCTACTAAAACTTCTTGTACGGTCATGTAATAAAATATAATTTTCACATACTGTATGTGAATTTTATCATCGGGTTTGGTTGGGGATTAAAAATATTGTGCAAATATTTGGTTCTTCATTCACATTTTTTATCCTATTTATTTGTAATATAAAATTTTAATACACTGTGTCCAAAATTTATTAGTTTACTTGTATTATTAACTATCAAATTATTTAGTATTTTTTATTCCATTTTTATATTTAATGAATTACAAAAATAAAATTATGAAAAAGTTGCCTTAAAAGTTAACAATAAATAAATATGACTAATATTGGGTTTCAAAAAGGAAATTTCTATTCTGATTATTTAATACGAATTCGCGTTGATTTACTAGGCATTTTACATATTAATTTTTTTATGCATATTTTGTTTGTAATTAATCCTAGCCCATATTACAGTAATTCTAATTGCCATAATATATAAAAAATGAGCGAAAAATATGCCCATAATCTCCAGCTAGTAAAATTTAACGGCGAAAATGTGTAATTTCGTAATTTAAAATTTGCAATTTTGAAGATAACCTCCTGATTTATTAATGCGAAAGTCAGAAATTAATTTGGTACTACTAATAAATTTTATATATAAAATTGCTCGTCGACCACTAATGAAAATATTTGCGAACTGAAATCAGGCAAAAAGTACGACCAGTTGACCATCTTTAGAATTTATTACAATTAGGAAACGGATCAAGTTCGAAGCAGGGACAATGATTTATCATGGCATTTTACAATATATCACAAAAGACACATAATTTCACAAAATGTTATATAATTTTCGCATAATTTCCATTAATTGCAGATTACGTCACTTACCATCAAATTTGATGACATGTTATGGCCCACACAAAAATTTGTCTTACAAAAAATGGTCCGAAGCGCAGTTATCATTGCACAACATCACGTGCCGGTTTGTGTTGTAATGCCAAGTGAATTTATTAATTGTGGGGCACAGTAGTATATTTATTAGTTTAAGTGTATAAAATTTTGAAATATATTAATCGTGAAACGTTACAATTTATTTTTAGATTTTGGGTGTCGGATCGCGATATTACTATAATGGGAAATGGGATTGGAGATCAAATTTTAGGAATTTTTCAAAGATCATATTTAGCGAGACTAGAAATTAAATATCTCACGGGAAAAAGGAAAAGTTTTGCTAAGGACAAAAATTGTTCGCTTTAAAAGTGGAGGACGTGCAATAGAAATCATGAGGAGTAAAAAGGACTTAGAATTATTTTCGTTGAAAATTATTTGGTTATAAAAGGGCAGGATTTGAGGGACGGAAAAAGGGGATTTATTAGAATTTATGGTAAATTGATTTTATAGCTTAGGAATTAAATATTATTAAACCAAGCATTATATCATTTAATATTAACGTATTTGTGTTAAGACTGCGATGGCAACGTAGTTTACTACGGGCGTAGGTCTTACAGACCGATCATTTTTTTTAGACCTGTAAAACCTGTCCTTTTGGTACACAGAAAATTTAATCTTTTAATATGATAACTTTTAAATTTTATTTATAAAATAAACGAAAATACATTTATATAACGTAATAAAAAATTTGATATTTAATGAATAATATAATAATAATAAAAAAAAGTAAATGAAATTTAAATAATCTGACTAGTATTGGTACCTTTCTACCAACCTATCGTGCTCAGCAGTCCAGTAAAAATTCCTTTCGCTATGATAATGTGGTGTAAACTTTATTGGAAGTCTATTTTTACTTTTCCAATCTTTTAGGAAGTTTTCCACCCCTTCTATCGAGAAATTCCATTTATCACTAAATGAAATATTTCGTAACTTATTGAGCGGGGAATTATTTATAACTTTTAATAAATCATTTCCAGTAGGTAATACTTTAACTGGTGTTGTAAAATATATTTCCTCCAATTGTTTACAATTTGAGAACATCATGCTTAATTCATCTAAATTTTTATGGTCAACATCTATGGTTAACCTCGTTAATAAAGGGCAGTTTTTAGATATCGTTATAATTAAATTTTTATTTTCGGTCGTATAATCTAAAAACTTGAGTGATTGACGTGAATCAATCTCTAATATTTTCCCACCGGATTTTTCGATTATCAAACTTTCAATATTAAATGGTAAGCATGAAGTTTGGAGACGTGTAAGGTGAGGGAATTTTTTAATGTTGTTTAAGCACTTTTCCCATTCTTGCCAATCTATATATTTATTTAATTTATTATTAAGAGTTATTTCTAATATATTTTCTAAGGACTGAATAAATATAGGTGAAACACAATTTAGTGTTGGTTGTAAAGTAATGTTTTTTAATGTTGAACCTTTTTCTCTGATCACATTACTTAATAATGTGCAGGTATCTTTCACATTATTATTAAAATCCAGAAACAAGGATTGCAGTTTATTTTGATTTTTAATAAACTTAATTAAGGACTTTTTATCTTTATCTCTACCACAATTACTTATCACTAATTTAGAGATATTTAAACAAATTTTGGAAAGGTCGGAAAAATTTTGATTGGTTATGAACTTCCAATTAATTTCAAGTGAATGTAAGTTTGAAAAAAAAGATTGCGCGTTTGGATATTCACACAAGTTTTTTTCAACTTCCCAAGAAAAATGTTTAACGTTAATACATTTACTAAAAATTAATTTGTAAATTTCTCTTTCCAAAATTTGTTTTTTGTGGCTATGATTCTTATGATTCTTGATTAAAAGATGTGCCATATCTATGATCCAAAATGGCGTGATACGAATGAAAAATCTCATATAATCAAATGTTGGCATTCTTGATAATTTATTCAATGGTAATATGATATTATTTTGGGGCAAAGGATCTACCGGATCATTTGGCAGAAAATGTGCTATTACGTTGTAAAGTTTTGAACGTGATTCTGGATTATAGAGGAAAGGATTATCGTAAGCATATGAAATATGTCTCCATAATATAGGTGTAGCTATGTTAAACCATTCTTTATTAACCAAAAGGCATGAACGCAAGGAAACGGGATCATCCTTCAATTCGGTAAAAATTAACAAGAGAACGTCTGGAACAAGTTGAGCCATGGAAAGAAATAGATATATATGATAAATAGTATGTGAATAATGTGAAAAAACAATAGTAGTATAAAGTATAAACAAATAGTATGATATGAAAAAATGTTAAATATCAAAAATTACAAAATAACGATCCATATTTATATAAAAAATTTACGATCTAAATAGTAATCGAAATGACCTCAAAAAAAAGATTGTTCTAGTTTACTCCGACATCTAAACAACGATTTGATTTTTTCTCCCGTTTTAGATTTATTGAAAGTAGTTAATTTCTTATATAAAATCAATAAACTTAATTTGGGAGTTCAAAGAAAATAGTTTGTGTCAGACTATAAATTTTAAAATATGTTTCTATTAATTTATAATAGTTTTAAAATTAGGTGATCATAACAATGGCTTTTTTCGAAAGTACTTTAATTTTGTTCTACAGTACAATAGTTTGGTAGATCATCAAATATATAACGTTTGACATGTATTTCTTTTTTTTTTAATATAAATTACTATTTTTGTTCAGTTCAAACAAATTAGAATTTTTTATTTTCTAAGAATTAATTTGAAACGTAGTACACTTAATAATTAATAAATTTTCTTCAGTCCCTTTTAAAGAAAAGGAATCCTTTAAATTTTCAAAGCATGAAAGCATGAAAGATACAAAATATTGTATGTTTGAAACAGTAAATGAGAGAAAATGTGTTATGTGTATCATGCGTTTAATATCCGACTAGTATTAAGTTGACAAAATAAGCAATTTCATAGTTTTCATCATTGTTTCCAGTTTTAGAATAATATTCTGACATCGTTTGTAACATATTATTATTGTTATCATTGTAGACGCACTCATTGCATGCATGACAAACATTTTAAACTGCGGTTTATTTTTCGATTAGTCAAAATATTTACGGAGAATCCGGATTGTTATGATACATATACGGTATACCCGAGTTACATGTAGTGTTTCAACTTGACAAAGAATAAAGGTTAAACTATATATACATATTGTTCATTTCCAGTGACACAGGAGAAAATTTTACAAAAATTAATTAAATAAACAAACTTCTTATTTCTGTCTAATGCATATATGAATAAAATCATGATCGGGTGGTACAGTAAATATTCCTTAATCATGTGACACCGTGGTAAATATTTTTACTTTACGTAATAAAAGATGAATGAATTCCTAACGCAAGGATGACTCTCGAATAATAATTGAAGAATCTAGATTTAATGAATTAGTAAATTCGACCATGTTATCTCACATACGATAGAAATATACTTCTGTAAATATTGTTCTAGGGCTGTACAATTTGTAGTTCATATCAGGCATGTGACAATTGTGACATGTCATTTAGATCATATGTATTTTCACTATATCTGATATTGGCTGAATTGCGCTAGCTATTGCGCTCATTTGGGGCAGTGACAATACTGAACTCGCGATAAGTAATAAAAGATCTAGATCTTGTGTGTTTTTACGCCTTTGAAAGTATGCTCTAACTTGGTACTGAATTGGTTGGATCGAATCAATTAAATTAGACATAAACGGAGATGATAATAATTCACCAATTTTTCATGCAAAGACTCTTTTTATACTAACGGTTTCAAAGATCGTTTAGTTAAAAGTTGGAAAAAAAAACTTACTTTAATATAAATTTAGTATTCCAAATTTGAAATCACATGATGCTCGTATAGTTAGTTATAGGACAATCAATAACTGATAAAAAACATTACGTCACTATACAATAAATATATTATACTGATACGCTTCATGTAATTTTATGCTGCAATCGAACCGGCTTTAGATTTATTGCAAAAAAATCATTGGAAATTTATTTTGAAGCATAACTTTCTCGAAATTACAGTACCAATCTTATCCGGATATCACATATTATTCTTTATTATGCAAATATCTCATATTTAATCACTATTACATATTCAGAATATCATATATACAAAGGAGAAAAGCAGAAAGAAAAAAAAAAGAAATTTATGTACAATAAAACAAAAATTATTGATTTTTCGCCCAATATTCTTTTCTTGCCTCGAATAAACTCGGGGAATAATCTCCTGACCTTGCAATGCTAAAGTTTTTAAAGGCATTACCATTAGGACGAGAACTTTTTGCAACACGTCCGTCAAAATCTAAAACTTCATTTTCCAGACGAGTTGGATTATTTATACCATCTATGGTTTTGCTTTGTTCCCCTTTAAATAACTCAAGTTTCAAATGACCATTTGATTTATTAATGCCAACAACCTAACAAAATTAAGAATTAATATAAAATATAACACTGAATAAGAATTATTAAGTAGTTACTAACCTTCAAATCCATCAAAACTGTTATCCCAATGTTTTTAAATTGTCGTTTATATTTTAATGTATCGTTCAGTCTAATGATCTGTGCTTTGGCCATTTCGGGAAGAGAAATCTTTGCGGAATCACTAAAATCACAATTTAATTAATATTGTAAAAAGTATTTATACATTTACGTTATATATAATATTTACCCTGCAACTTGTTTCTTTCCTAATTTTCCCCAAAGTCCGAGTCCCCACTCTTGTTCATAATCATCACTCTATTGAATGATAATAATGACGTTAAAATTAATAAATAACAACTGAAATAAATAAATAAACAATCACCTTCCAATTCTTGGGAACTTTGGTCTTAAAATTTTCAAGATTATCCCATTGTGTATCGACTCCATATGAAGTATTATATCCATATCTAACGCTCGTTTGGAACCACCATCGAGCATCTTTGAAAGAATCTGAAAGCCAAAAATCAAATCGAGGACAAACTTTATTTGGATCAAGTTCTTTAACCGGTTCAGATACACCCGGCATATAAAGTTCTTTTCCCGCGGCCGTATATTCTCGTTCAATTCTTGGAGTGTCAATAGGTTCTCCATTATCGCTCGCAATTGGTACTAATTCGCAATTCGGTATAAGTTTCAAGAGACGACTTTTTTGTTCATCCGAAAACTTATTGTATACTTGAAAATTAAAAAGTGACTATTCAAATATTAACGATTTAATTCTTTTTAACAATCAGAAAAAAAAAGATGGATAATAATAAATATAATTACTTTCAATTGTTTCTTAGCGACCATGGATTTGGGATCTGAGAATAATTTTTGAAGATAATCCACATCTTTTTTTTTCATCCAAGGTTGCCTAGTAAACATCCTTTCTTGATAGTCATGATATTCTGGAAACGGCTCTCTGGGAACTTCAAAGAGTTGTGCTTTGATCTTTTCCCATTTTTCTTGAACAATTGAATCAGTTTCATCAATATTCATCGTATCAGAACCATCATATTTTGGGATATTGCTCGAAGAAGTGGCCATACTCAATTTTTCATTAAACAGACTTTTAAGAGACATGAAACTAGCACTTGGTGCGTCTGACATGAAACTAGTGCTTGGCGCGTCTGACATGAAACTAGTACTTGGCGCGTCTGACATGAAACTAGCGCTTGGCACGACTGACATGAAACTAGTGCTTGGCGCGACTTCTATATTATCTTCGTAATACGGTTCAATAACTTTGTTTTTCCCTTTGTTACTTCTTTTGATAGTTTCTGATTCCTGACTGTCATTATATGGAATAACATCCATTTTCATTTCTTCTATTTGTTGTTGTTTTTCATCTTCATTGCGAACCTTTTTACTTTTATGAACGGGAGAAAAAGATTTTGCACGTTTTTTATATAATGAAAATGCAGGTTGAGTTTCTTTATTATATTCAGGGTAAACTTCTTGAAAAGCTGCTTCTTTTAATAGTTGTTCGTCTTTGCGTTTAATGCGAGTTGACCTTCTAACTGAAGTAGAACTTTTAGTATTATTTCTTTTTTTCGGCATTTTTAAAGAATAGTTTTGTCTGTGAGAAAAAAATATAAAGTTCATTATTTATGAATGTGCGTGGTAATTAAGAAAAACACGAAAATAAGTTAAATTGTCATAATTGGAAATAAATCATGAGTGCCCGAATCGATCTTTGATGTAAAAGTATAGATTTTTGATTTCGTACGACCAGTCTTCTATATTTTTGTAGTTAGTACCATCAAAGATGACCTATTAAGATTTAAGATAGATATCGTGGCATTCTTGAAAAGCAATAAAGGTATATATTTAATTTTACTATTAATTGTATGAAGAACTATCCTCAAAGTCGATACTTTTGTCTCATGCTCCCTGGGTAACGGAATAACTAAATTATATCGTTTGTCAAATAAAATACGGTAAATGTAATTTGACTATCACGATTGTTCTTGAAAAAAGCAAATAATTAGGCAATTTACCAGGTACCCAATAATAATGTCCATGTGGTTAACAAATTCTTATAATAAATATATCTTAGCCATTTTTAATTAAGTTCCAAAATTAGCAATAATATAATATTAATTTAATTATATTAACTTTTCATTTAATTAATTTAACTAACTTCCAAATTTAGCAATATATTAACTTTATTTTTTTAATTAACTGATACTTAATTACATCAACTTTTTATTAACACTTTTAATTATATTAACTTTTTTTTTTAATGATTAGCAATAACTTTTATTAGACTACAAGAACATATATTGCCACCCGGCATACATTAATGCATGCTAAATAATGAGATCAATTGGATGTATGCGATCTATTATTTTAAATCTATCTATATCTTTCAAATTTCAATTATGTATTTTCAAGTTATTTTTAGATCTTCCATCATTTTTGCTTTTATCCCAGCCCTAATTAACAAGCGGTTGTTAAATTGCAAAAAATATTTCCTTATTTTTTGGGACTCTGTTTGCCTTCAGGTCTTTTTCAATATCATTTTCGATAGTAACATCTTTAAAATTGTCTTTATTTAACTGTCACGTTCACGTGTTTTCACGAAGATCATCCCGTGTAGTACCATTCTAGCAAAGGAGGTAAGTCGAATTGACTTGGCGAAGGAGGATGTTAAATAAATTGTCGATGAGAATAAATTGAATTGACTTGGCGAAGGAGGTTTTTATTTTCAGTTGGATAATCTTGGAATGATATCATGATTTCACTTTGAATCTTATTTCCATCAACCTAGCAGAAAGGATTGCTTCTATATCTATACCTCAGCGGCCTAGGTGATGGAGAAGGTGAGAAGCCAACAATTTAATTTTAAAGTACGAATATTTTATTTTATTTTATTTTTACACATTTTTTTTTTACTCACTTAAAATCACATCGCTCATGTACACATGAATTCCTTTCTCTTGTAAGAACATAAAATGATGCTTACTCAACCCAGAAGACCCAAAGAAAAGAGAGGAGTCATAAAAAGAAAGAAAGGAATATCCATTGAGTAGCAAAATCATAGTTTTGACTGTAATTCGCGTTAGTCCTTTGATCCATGTATTAAACTGAGTATCGTTCCAATTCGAATCTTTTTTCTGTTGGATTTCTTTAAATCCATTTGAAGATCCATTTGTTATTCCAGTTGTTTGTCCTAACGGTTGAATAATTGTCCAGTGAATTAGTAACAAATTTGTTGCTACATAATTTGTTTACGGAAAAAAAAAAATTGATTTTTTTAATTGAAAAAAATTCAAGAGGAAATTGCTAACAAATTACCAATTCATTTGCGGAAACCCTGATCACACTTTTTCCAACAACATCTGTCACGACGGAAGAAGTGATCCTTTGCAAGATTATCATCATTGATTACGTCAGTGTAATCAGGAACTAATTACTCATTGTTTAACTGAATAGTATCATTCATACCCTTAGTTTTTTGGCCAGTTAAAGGCTTAATAAGAGCCTTCCCGATCTTCGCTCTACCGGAGGGAATTTTAGTTAACATGTGACCTTGAATTTCTTTTAATTGATGTTGAATCTTGGTTTTTGAGCTTGTTCTATCCAGCCTGGAAATAATGTTAGCCAAAGTACCTCCTTACTACCTATACTCAAAATTAATTCGTCAAGTTTTGGTCGGCTCGTTCTAATTTGCTCGGTTTTTTTGATCAGATAAATTTGTTGTATCTCATTGACACATTATACACACGCCAAAACATACTTAACCGACGTAATTCTGCGAATTTGATATCATTCTCTCCTTTAAGGCGTTCTTTCCTCAATTTCGAGCGAAGTTTTGCAGTTTGAGCTGGATTGAGATTAGCCTTCTGATGGGCATTTTGATCACGTAAATATGTAGTCGCAATAGCATAAGATTCCATTCTTATCTACCAACTATACGGTATCTCAGTACGACATTGCATCAGCAGCTTTTTACAAAAGAAATTTAACCTTTCATGAGCAAGTTCAATATCAAAATTGGCGAGTTCGTCCAAATCCTGTTGGTTGAATTTGTAAATTCTCTCTTGTTGCAATTGTAATAAATTCTTGATCTGACTCACTTCACCTCATGACAGGTGATATCGTCGCAGATGCAAACTGAGAATTGAATTAGTTTCTTATTACCAGCAAGTATACCATCTACTTCATCCATTATGATATGTATTTCCTTTATCGACATATTTTTTTTCTTTTTGCTATTTGACAATGACTCAAAAATTTTTTTTGTTAACCTCAATCTTTTGAGTAATTGTATAATCAATCGGGAGAACCAGAAATTTAACGATGCAGCCATTCATTCTTTGCTCTTAAATTTGAGACCTTTATCTCACTCGCTAAGCCATCTTTCCAAATCTTTCACGAAATTCTGATTACCATTGTTTTAGATGATGCAAGTAGAACGATCACGGTAATTGCATCAGAAAGTTTTACAATAGGAGCTTATTGGAGGCATTATAATAGCACGATTACTAGAAGGTATATACTGCTTTTTTCGTCCACGTTTCGTTTTCTCGAGAGATCAAGTGATCTTGATTCTTTTTCTAATACAAAGTTGTCATCAACATCAATCCTTGTTTTTAGGCTTTTTTTTTGTTATTGCTTCTGATGTTGCTTCTGTGGTTTAGTTGTGAATAAACCGGGTTTCTGATGTAAAAATTCTATATAATAAACTAAAATTCTTGCAAGTTTTTGGGTGAAGAACCATGCCCATTATTTGTGGGCATTGTTTAAATATCATTTTTGATATCATTTAAATTCTATACATAAATAGTTTAATATTAAATGAAAATAGATTAATTTTGTCTAATTATTTTTATATTTCTAACATCGACCTTTCCACTTTTCCAAACTTTCTCAGAGAAAATCTAAAATTATTATTCGAAAAATGTTTCTAAGCCTTCTACTGAAAATTCAAATGAGAGTTCTCGTAAGGTTATTAGAGATAAATCGCCCACAACTTAAGTGCCCATTATTTATGAGCATTTGTTTAGATATTATTTTTGATATTATTTAAAATTCTATACAATAAATAAATAAATATATATATATATATATATATCTTTAGTGATCTAATTTTGTCTAATTGTTTTTTATATTTCCAACATCGACCTTTCCACTTTTCTAAAAACACCTCCAAACTTCTCAGAGAAAATCTAAATTATTATTCGAAAAATATTTCTAAGCTACTGAGAATTCAAATGTAATTCTCGTAAAGTTATTAGAGATAAATCGCTCATATCTTAAAGTGTTAATAATTTTTATCGGCATAAAATTACCGATTTAGCTGGTTTATAATTTATAATTGGATATAATTGCTGATTTCATGTTGCTCTTTAGGATCTGGTATAACTGCTAGTGTGAGAATATTGTAGGCTTGAAGAGTAAATAACGGCGTATATTACACCGACAGAATCCATTCTTAATTTACATTAATATTATTAATATTGGTTCGTCTCCTACTTTGGTTTTTTTGATTAAGTGACATATTGGTAGGAAGTAAAGAATTTAAAGCAGAGAAGTAGAAGCTTATCATCGTCTGAGCCCTGGCTAAATTGGAATTAATTAAGAATATTTAATCGTGGTAATTCATAAACCTAAATGCTTCAGGAAACTTTTGTTTAAAATTTCACCAACAGTACGTCAACGTCACTTCGTCCCTTTCTTAGGCATACGCGACTTCCCGGTAGTCGGCTTTTGACAGTTGTAGATTTGAGAATCGTCTTGATAGGTGACGATTTGCTAGTCGACTTATTGGTCTTGTCACAATGTCATTCGGCTCATTTCTTGAATCTTTCTACAAGATCGCTTTTTTTGGGGGGATCTTTGGGATTAAGCCAACTAGCACGATTCGCAAAGTATAAATTTTGGTGCAGTGATGTTCTTGGAATCTTCCAATAAAAATTAGATTATCAAGCGTGTATACATATGTGTAACTTAAATCTTACATTGCTATAATGAACCAGCAAAATCTACAACTACTACTAACTACTACCTTGACGCTAAAATAGAAAAATATTAATATAGTATAAATATTCCTTTTAACAGTAACATATAATTAATCAAATTTTCGCAATAGTTATTAAACATCCTTTTTGTTTTGACATATTCAACCATTTTTAGAATGGGGTGAATCCGCGAGAAATCAGGTCACTTTTTCCTTTTACTGCTATTTATGAAAGAATAATGTTGCTAGTCTGAACTCCTCTAAATCAGAATCCTTGCTAGAATTGACGACTTTTTACTTGATTTATTATTTAATTATATGAAAATAATATTGGATACGACATAAAATGGACCTGTAACGTGTATTTCATGATTTGAGGCTTCGTTGTGTATTTACAAGTAAGTTAACTTTTCTTTAAATTTTGTTGGTATTTAATCCTAATTATTCATATTATTTATGGATTATTATAATACAAGATAACTCTACCAAGATTTGATAATTACTATATTTGCTTTAATTTCTAAATTATACTTTAGATCTTACTTAACATCTTTGAACTACTACTTACAGCAACTAATACTTTTAAATGGAACGACTTCAATATGACATTTTTATTTATGAATCTTTGGATAATTGATCCGCGATTAAGATCCAGGAAATTACTCATTTGGCACAACAATCAGTTTAAAACTCGTTTTCTTTAACTAATCAATCACCAATGTTTAAAAATGATGAATGATGACGCGAAACACAAAATGATATTTAAAGCGTCCTAAGATAAGGAGGTTAGGTATATTTTTTTTGTATATGTACTATATGAAGACAGAAAAAGAGTTATTTATTAACACTTATTTTTTTTTTTTAATCTTAATAGAAACTATATATTATTAACGATAAACGATCACATGAGCGACTGGCACGTTTGGTGTATTATATGGGAGTGCGTGATTTCGCACGATGTCAATTCTATTCAGTTTTTAATTATACTATTATGTGAATTTTAAATTTAATTTTTTTATTTTTTATTTATTTTTTTTGTCAATGTTAATTTTATTTTATAAATCGTAATAAATAGCATCTGATTAGATATTTTTTATTTAGAAAACGGACTATTGCTATCTGTGATAATTCTGTCTGAATTATCGGACCGATTTGAAATCTCCAAATTTTAATGTAGAAAAAACAAAGTTACGAATTACGTAGTAATGCAATTCACTATAGCGGAAATTTGAATTTATTTATTATATTATGATGGGCTTTCAAGTGGATCCGCACTTCAAACATTTTTCCAATAATTGAGTATGAGTATTCCCAGTGAATTTTGGCTTTAATCCAGGAATCATATCATTAATCGATGAATGATCATGGGTCTGTTATAATAAGGACGTTCTCCAACTGACATCATCCAAATTATCTATCACACCAAAGATATAAATGCCAGAAGCTTGAGTTTTTCACTTCCTTTCTTCCTTTGAAAATTCCAGGAACAAAAAACGGTACGATCCAAAAATTCCTTTTGAATTCGTTTTAAATGGCCTGATATGAGTGATCCTTGCATTCAACTTGTTTCTACCATATTCAATTAAGATATTACTTCCATGCAGATGACCGTAAATAATAAGACCAAGATCATGGATTTTAAATAATTCTGACGAGATTGACCATAAGAGATCAACAATGTCTTTCCAATAAAGAAATTCTTCATGAGATTCAAGAAAGGAATATATGCCTCCCTTGTAGTAATTTCTAAAAACAAACATTGGATATGTTGTCCCTAGTGATACCAAAGCTATCCGCAAGTGTACTATGATGTAGGCATTTATTTATTAAAACTATAGTTTAATAAATAATTAAAAACTAATAACAAAAAATTTAAATACTTACTTGTTAATAAAATGATCAATGAGTTCCCTAATATTATTTAATCGTTTAAGTATGACTTCTATCGGTCCACTACGAGTCCATATCCTTGCGGCATCATCTCTTACCCGAAATAGACCTTTCATCCACATAGCGGAATATATTGATATATTATGGAAATAATTCCTTATTTTATAAGGTTAAATTGAGAGAAATCAATCCACTCGATAATGTCCATGCTTTCTTTGACATTTTGTTGAATGTGTCTGATCAAGATCAATTTTGCTAGACCAATTTTTAAAATTTTCTATCAAATATGCAACATCGTAGTTTACGCACTTCTATCACAGTTTGAACATATTCTATTCAAATCAACTGTCCAATATGTCATTATAACCTGAATGGCGAGTAAAGAAGGAAATGTGTAAAAAAGAAATAGTTCACTTTTTTATTTATTGAAAATATCAAAATTAATTATATGGTAGATCAGTGTGATGACGTAAATTTTTTTTTATTGATGATCGGACTTCGATAAATAAAAAAATCAATAAGAAATAATCACAGGGCCACTATGTGGTGATAACAAGTCCCAACGTAGTGCTGTGACCTTAGTAAAATGGTATCACATATGCAGTGATTTATATTTAGCGATCCGAATAATAAACAGTAAGAAGTTTTAAGTATTTATTAATCTATTAGTTCTTATAACTATCAAACTATTTAGCACTGTGAGATATTTTTAATTACTTTTGGACGTTAACTGAAACTTTAGATGTAAATTCTCACGTAATCATCAAAAACTATATCTGATATATGCATAACTTTAAAAACTTGCCATGATCAGTTGGTGCATTTAAACCCATAATATCGCTTTTTGATTTTTTTACTAATGTCTTCAATTTTCATTTTATATTTCTTCAATAATTTCTGATGCAGATGTGGATCTTCATCTCAACTCCTTTTCATCAAATTGACGTAACATTGTATTTCTGGACGTTCACCTTTACAAATGTTCAAATTAAGCTGAAGATAATGTTTTAAATAGTGGAACTCCAGACGTAATTTCAACTTTTTCTGTTTTGAAGATTTTGGTGTATCAACTAATGAGCAAGAGTATGCGCGATATTTGTTCAAGGAGCATTTAATAAATAATTTAATATAAAATAGTTCAACCAACGAATTATCAATTCGTAATTATCATAAAATATTGAGTAGTGGGAATTAAGGAATGAAATTTAAGAATTCGACAAAATTTGTTCGTCTTCGCTCAATCAAGGCTATTGTAGGCAATTTGGACAGAATGAATTTTTTTAATGATTGTGCGTATTGGACCTTTTTGTAAAAAAAATATGTGGAAAAGAAATTTTGCAGTTTAGGGACGAAGTGCGTGAATATGCGTATTTGATTTTTTTGATTTTTTTTTAAAAAAGAGCGAGAAAAATTTTCTTATTGCAATTTTGTTAGGAATTTTTAGAGCCTTTTTATATTATTTAACAACAATACGATCGATTCATTTGGATGTAAAATAAAATAATAAATTTTTCCATTAAAGTATTGAAACAATAACTTATTATTAAAAAGATTTGTTCATCAAGGTATTGAAACAACAATAACTATTTTACTTATTCTACAATAAATTCACGCTTGACCTAAAATAATACTGCAGATTCGATAAATTTAATGCCAACCTTTTGATTGGCGTAATTACCGCTTTACCCATTTATCAATTTTTTACTTTTTTTTTTCTTTTATCAAATTCTATCGAAATTCTAAGAACAATCAGTTTCTATGCAAGATATTTAAATTCATTAATATATTTATACTATTTTTTTAAATGTTATTTTTAACCGTTCAGTTTTTAACATGTAACACTAATTCTTATTCGTCGAAAATTTATGATTCCATTAAGTAACAAAAATTAGTTTGTAAAAAAAAAAAGATACGGTCATACACCCGTCTCTTATACACATCTAGATGTGTATAAGAGACAGGTCATACACTCATACGGAATTCGTGATAATAAATTTATTTATTGTTTACCGCTAAAAAAAATTCTTTGTTTAAAATATCATGTAGCATTTAGGTTAGTTATTATAAAAAAAATCTTTAAAGAAATACTATTTTGTGGCATGGATTTTTATTGATAGTAGATAAATAGAAATTTTTGATAAATGAAAAAAAAAATACTTCTCGATAATAATAATAATATGTATAATGAATTTATAAATAATTTAATATAATTAAGTTCTAATAATTAATTTATAACTGAAATTAATCTCTATAACGTTCTTTATGAAGTCGCAACCGCAACTATTACATGAAATAATTATAAGTCCACCCTCGAAGCGCTACAAATAATGAGATGTTTAAAATTGAGGTAAATCATATATATAATAATATAATATTATTTTTATAAATCATTTTCAAAGATTAATTTATATTGGTCATTTAAAAGAGTCATTGATTTAAACTTGTTGGTATATTTTAATATCAAAAAAGATTCTAACACATTGGTTAAGCATGACATTTCAAAGTATCTTAGTTTTGGAAAATCAGCCTTGCTTAAATAGTAACTCCATACCTTAGTATATCGAGATAATTGATTAACATAATTGTTAAGGACTAAATATTCTAAATTTCTTAATGAGAGAAGAAATTTAGGAGAAATAGATGTAACAGATGATTTTATTGTTAATCTTTTTAATGTAACAGCTTTCCCTTCAATTGCTTCGCTTAAGTACACGAGTTGTTCTCTTACATCACACAAATGCAAGCATAAAGATTGTAGTTTAGTCTGCACGTTAATAAAATGAAGTAAACCCAGGCAATCTCTGTTACATTCATTAATCTCTAAAGTTACTATATTTTGGCAAATCCGAGCTAATTCATATAATATTGTTGGATTCGCGATTGTTAGACTTATCCCTAAAGAACTTAAATTGGCGAAAAATGGTTCGGCATTTGGAAACAAGTGTAAGGAGTGATATGTACTCCAATAGAAACATTTTACATTCTTACAATTATTGAAAATCACCTTATATATTTCTTCCTCCAACATATTTTTTTTATAATCATAAATTTTAGCTTCCTTCTCCGTCGTTACTGATTGCACTATATCATTAACAAAAGTAGGGGAAATGTGAGTGAAAAAAGTCATATAATTAAATATTAATTGTCGGTTTGAAGGTAATTTAAATCCATTTTTGAATAAAGGACTTTCTGATGGTAAAAAATATGATATAACATCGAAGACTTTATTGAATGAAATAGAATCTTCATGGGTATAATAAAGAGATCTCCATAATATAGGCATTGCTAACGAAAACCAGGATTTATTTACTAAAACACATGAATGCAAAGAAGAAGGATCATCTCGCAATTCGTTTAAAATTAATAATAAAACATCTGCGACAAGTTGTACCATTGTTAATGATAAGATAAAGATAAAATGAAATTTTGAAAATTTGGGATGATTATAAAAATGATAAAATTGTATGAAAAATAATGATAAATGCATGAAAGTTAACAACTGTATTTATATTAAAAATTTAGCAATATTAAAGGCATAAAAAAAGTCATATTAATTATAAAAAAAATCATATATTAATTTAATTAATATTTGTTGAAGCCATAAATGATTTTATTAGAACAGGGGCTTTGCATAATCGATTTGAGTCACTTTTCCGTTCGACAAGTTTTTAATGTGTACCGCACAAATTTTATCGGTTGTAATTAGACAAAGTTTCATCTATTAAATTTTTATTGGTTAAAAGATCAAATAATGAGTAAAAATAAGGAATGAATGACAGTTCTATCCAGATTTTATTGTCTCCTATTTTAGACATGAAAGTTTCAAAAATATGAAACATACTTATATAATCAATATTTTTCGGAGTAAATATTACTCTATTGAAAGTTTCGAAATTTTTAAGTAATGTTTTTACGTCTTTAAATAAAAACTCTCGCAGTTTGTACAATAAATGCACTAATTTGATCAAGTGATGTACAATAAATGCATTAATAAATAAGTTTGTCAATGTTTTGATTGGTTATGTGTTTATCCTATACAGGGTTCAGCACTTGAATGGCAACAAGAATTTCCGGGAATCAAAAGTGAATAACTAAATCTACTGTTAAAAAGTATTTTCCATAGATTATTTTCAAAGAAAAAAAAAATAACAAAGTTCTCGGACATTCCGGACATAATGTATCAATCTTATAGTGTTTAATTTTTTGTACCGTGTCATGGAACAGTACATAAAACTTGTGTTACTAAAACAAAGTAATGTCGAATAATATTGTTAAAGCTGAAACCTCATATACTTTATCGTCCAAAATAAGAGACAATGAAAATAATGAAAATCGTTGATGTCTGATATCGGATATTATACCCCTTCTTTTTTGCATTTATGATATGTAATCGAAAAAGTTTATTTTTAGTTTGTGTTTTTCATTAATCCAATTTAATACATGAAAAGATAGAAATTATATAAACTTAAGAACTATGACAATTAACATCACGTTAAACATATTGTATTTTATTTTCAACCAATAAAATTTGATGATACTGACACGATCATATATGAACACGGCCGATAAACTTTATATACGCAACAATTCTTGTATACAAGAAAAACGGGTCCCAAGAAAAATATGGCAAAATTCCTAGTATAATATTAATTATTAGGAGTAATATTGTCCAGAGCGTATTTGTTATGTGATCTGCAACCCACTCCTGATTATTTCCTTTATATTACAAACACAAGACGGTCTTTCAACGGTTATTCCTATTTATCTCAAGATACTTTATGATAAGGAATGTACAAAATTGAAGTATTTAAATATGATATCAATTGATCACCAAAATGTTTTTATTTTAATTATTTTGCGAAACTGAATAAAGAATATCGTTATTTTATGTGAATTTAACATGTGATTCATGAGTGATGCGATTCGTTGATTCGTCAATCCGCAATCCGCGGATAAACCATCCGGATTGGATCCGGATGAAGATACGAATGATTCTGCTATTTCTGTAATTTATAGTAACAGACATCCGTTATTTACTGTATGTTTTACGGTGTCAATTTAACACAGTCATGTGAATTTGGGTCCTGTCATCGGACCATGCGATTGCTATTCGCTTTATAATAAGAGTTATTAAAAAAAAAAATTTTTTTTTACTAATTTAAATATTTTAATGAGATAATAGTTGATTTTGTAATAATCTAATGCAATTGTATTTATAGATATAGTATGAATTGCTAGGACCCTAATTTTTGTTATGAGTTTTTAAATATTTTATTATATAAAAAATATTTATAACTAATAAGTAATAATTATTAAATACAAGAAATGTAGATCGGTCATGTAAATTTAGTTCGATCCGGAACAGATAGTTAACTCTAGCGAAGTCCGATCAAAGTTTAAATTCGGTCTGCATTACTGATCGGTCATCTGGATCATCAAAATCTTACGTTACATTTAATAAAAGGTCATGTGATCTAATAGCCAGAAAAAAAAAATTTTTTTAAAAAAATATTTTTTGTTTTTCTTCTTAGAAAAATGATTTTATAACTTATATATATGTATATATATTAAAGATTATTAGCGAATTGGCAAAAGGTAAGTTTTTTTTTTTTATTTATTTTATTTTATTATTTTTATTTGGAACGTTACTACATTCTTTTTTTTTAGGTACGGCTCCTGGACTTGAATATCGACCTGCAAACTCCGGAATTACAAAGTTGAAAGGTACTGAGGAAGGAGAATATTTGTTTTTTTTCAATTTGAGAACGTCACAACTTTCCTTTCTGTTTTTTTCTTTAGAGTACTTCCAGGTTTGATAACACGGTGAAACTACACCGAAACTCTATTAAAATATCAATGTTTGCCGTGCTGAATATGCTGGACCATATTGACCTTTTGGCAGTTTCGGAGTTTCGACAGTTTTAGCATTATATGAATGTTTCGGCATTTCACGTCAGGCCACAGCAAGCAACCTTACATCTAATGATCCTTCATATTTTATTGATTAGCACATAGCTGTCAAAATATACAGAGATTGATCATTATTAATAAAACCGATAACGTTAATGAAGGAATAATTGAATTAATTAAAGTTCAAAAAAATTTAAGTTATTTCGAATGGAAAGATGACTTTGAAGATGAATATGATATTATAAATGTTCCTTATAATGAAATATTACTTGATATTATCAATCATTTAATATTATATTTTCAATTACTTTATTATCAAGAATATCAAGAGCATAAATTATTTGAGATATTTCCAATATTTCATGAATTAAAAACGTTAAAAGTCTATTTCGGTATTTTTTTTTATTTTTTTTATTTGTTATTTTTTATTTTAAAGAGATATTTTATTAATGCTTCTTTTTCGCTTTTTTTTTAAGGACTTGCGGATTTCTTGAATATTTAGAAAGGGTGACGCTTAACAGAAAAACGCAAAAATACTACCGAGACATATCATGATCTTGAGATTCTATTGTTCAAAGATGATAGTAACGTTTGTGTTTACTGCAAAAAGCTAGGTCATTGGATAAACGAATGCCCAGAGATCCTCCCGAATATCGAAACAAATGTTTTAAGTTATTAGAGTCATTAAGTCCAACTGAATGAAAATAAATAATTTATTAAGGATATATGGACATATTGGGTATATTGCAATGAATGCGGCAGTTAATATAATCACTAATAACGGTGTTATATCAAGGAGATATTGTCAAATTATAATAGTTATTATGATGACGAATATTATTATTTTGAAAACTACATCAAAAGATACTCTTTTATTAATCATGCTTTAAATAACCAATTAATTCGAGTTTTGTATAATGGCGGTGTCCCTCTTAAGATTTTCACCAAGATGATCGAGATGATGAATGAATACGCCGAAAAATCAAATCCGAAGTGATTGGATGTGACAATCCACAATCTTTAATAGCATGGGTAACTAAATCACTCTAATATCATGAAAAATAGGTTAGAGATATTTTATAATCATTATTTGAAAATGAATCTTCGGATGATGATTGTGATTTATATGTAGATTCAGAATCCGAAAGCTATACTATGTCAGGATTTTCCGATAATCCATCTGAACAATGTATACAGATGCTACAAGCAGGATTTACTCCTTCGACAACAAGAAATTTAAAAAGCGTACTTTCATCAACATTAAAGTCGCTTTTTACTAAATTTAGAATAAATCTCTTTATTCCGCGTTTTAACATGTATTGCTGACCCGACAAATACTTTGAAACCGGGAGAAGTCTTTATCTAATTGGATAGGGAAGCAGGACGCGATGAACGCACTGGATTACCTTTTGGAATTATTGATGATGATGTAATTTTAGCTAGTAATCCGTGTGGTTTACCTTCTGATATTATCAAGGTTAAAGCAGCCAGAAATATGGATTTAAGCATTTATTATAATGTAGTCATATTTCCTGTAAATGCTGCTAAGGAGGATGACATATCATAAGCAACTTATTTAAGTGGAGGAGATTATGATGGTGACAAAGGTATACATATTTTTTATGATATCATAGAAAATTTTTTCCCTTTTAACGATTTCATTTATAGATTTTTTGTTGCTGGTATCCACGAATCGTCAAAAAACTACAAAAATTCTCCTCTTTTAGCACTTGATTCGAGAATCAAAAGTGCTTTTAATGTAAACAATCAAACTATTGACTATTTATTATCCTCCGTAAAATCCAGTCAAATTGGATCCAAGATACAGGAGAAAATTTTAGACATTCACTTTAAAAATATGGAAACGCCGCGTGGTTTATATGATCGTTGGCACAAACTGACAAACGCCAGTCATCCGAATTTGGAATATTTGACAAACAATCCATTTATCTTACTCAAATGAGCGCACAGCTTACTGATGCTACTAAGCGGAGACTTACTATAAAACCAAATGTTCAGCAATACGATAATTAAGTATTTAAAAAACTTCCTGTTCCTTATTGGATGGAAAAAGAAGATAATTATAAAATTCGATCCAAATCTAAGCAAGAATAAATGGAGTTCACTTTGGAATTAAAGGTATAATGGATTCATTATGTATTGAAATTGAAAATGAGATAAACGAAATAATAAATAACAAGGGATTATTGGTAGCAGAAAAGAACGTAGATCCAGATCCACACACATATAGCTTCTGGAATGACGAAGTGACTCGTGCTCAAAAAAATGGGGGGAAGACTCTTTATATCTAGATGATTTAAATCTTATATATACATATTAGTTCAAAATTATTACCCAAATATTAGGAGATCAGGGTGAAAATGATAAACAATTACTATCATCTCTAAGGAGAATGAAGAATGTAAAAGTGTAGATTATGAATTTTTGAGGAATTTTTTAAATACTCCACCGGTTGAAAAATATAAAAGTAAGACATTTAAAGTTATAGCATTTCGTACATTATGCAAAATTGAATCACAGATGTTAGAGAGTGAACGACATCTTGTTGTCGGAGGGCAATTCTTTAATCCGATTTCGAAACGTCGGTCGGTCCATGTTTTTTACAAATTTATCTACAAGTCCTTCCTAAACCAATAAATTCTTTTGTTTTTGTACCTACTTACAGAACTTGTAAACCTTTCTTTCAGCACGAATAAAATTTCAATATAAAAAAAGTATTTCAAATTGGATCGTTTACGACTCCAGCACCGATAGCACCAATTAAAATAATAACGGTAACGACATGTAAGCGTTTCATGAAGACATGTGGAGAGACATTAACAAACTTTTTGACTTATTCAAAATAAAATTTACTACTCAATTAAATTAAATTGATTTTAATATTATTTTGTATATCAGTTACACTTAATAAATATAAAAAATATAATAAAAATATAGACAATATTTTACAAAAGAGTTTATAATACAGTATTATACAGTATAAATTAATGGATGATTATTTCCATATTTGAAGTTTCTGTTGATGTGTCATTAATTTTTCGATCATTATTTTTATCTTTTGCATTCTCATCATTTTCATCATTATCATTTTTCTCATCGTTCTTATAATTCTCATCATCCTCATCTACTATTGTAGTGCTTGCCCATTCAAGGAATGACAATCTTTTCATTGACACAACTACTATTCTATCATCATCAATAATCTGGCTATAGGTTTGGTCATTAGAGGATAAATTAGAGAGTTTATGATCACTTTGAGTGAATTTCGATGATAATCCAAACTGTCGACCTGTACCCTCAATAGCGTGAACAATTTCAGCATCAATGGTGATTAAATAAGATAACAAAATGGTTACTATGCCTCTTGTAATTAGTGATGTTCCTTCTTCTAAAATAAAAAATATATCCAAAATAGCCAAAATATGAAAGATGAAAGATACTATTAATCGTAAAAAATTCCAATACATAACGGCTGAGAATAATGATATCTTGTTTTTTTTTAAAGATAATTGAGAAACATTTTTATTGGCTCTTTTTAATATAAAGATTAAACGTGCAGTCACATATATATCAATTACAAAGTCTACAATTATTCCTCCAATACCGTAAAGGGAATTAGCGGAAGTATCGTAATCACAAATAACCGTTCCACTTTCGGGAATATCTACAAAAGTTGATTTTTGAAGAATTAGGTATGGAATCTATAAAAGTAAAATTATTGGTTTAGTTGTTATTGTTTTAAAAAAGAGGAAGAAAGAAAAATATTCAAAATATTCTATTTTAACAGAAAATTTACCGTAAATGCGGTTCTAATTAAAAATAATAAAATGCATATCCATTTATCCCAGTCTTTTCCGCTCATTTCTATTTGCCTTATCCGCCATAATAAGAAAGCTGCTAATGATAATCTCGTTATGGTAGTCCCGGTAATTGAAAAGTGTACAAAGGCAGTGCATTGAATGAGTGTGGGTAATTTTGGAGTCATATAAAGGCCAAGAGTTCCGAAACTACGCATGATTTGACCAAAATTGAAAATAATTTTAAGAATACTTGAAGCATATACTTTGCGTATTTTATATAAAGCTATCGAAATGATCATGTTGTGAAAGCATATCTATAAAAGAGATAAAAGCAGTAAAATCATTAGTTAAAATTTAACACCAGCAGAGGGTTCGCCCACTTTGGACTCAAGGTAAATTTTCCACTTAGCTTTAAGAAATATTAATCAAAATTTTATCCTTAAAATTAATATCTTACCATCAAAATTGCTGCCGTCCAAAAGCCAGCAAATGCTTGGATCTGAATAAAATTCATATTCATTTCGATTTTTAGATTTAATGAAAAAAAAAAGAAAAAATTATGGAGCGTGTCTTTTTAAGTTCTAAAAATTTCATCCGTTCATAAATAAATAAAAATTCGGATTAAAATAAATCCGGCAAAATGGGCACTGTAAAAATAAATTGTGTTATTTATATTTACATTACATTGTATACATAACTGCTGTATTTTTTGTTTCTAATTAAGTTGAACAAAACATAAAAAGTTGTCAGCCATTGTAGATATTAACCTAATTTGTACTTCATTCAAAAAAAAAAATTTTATTTGATTTAAGGTCATAGCATTTAAAGATCTCATCACATAACTTCTTTCCGCATATGGTCACTATAGAAAACGGATCTAGGAATTAGCAGCAATTAAAGTTTTAATTTTTATGTTTTGTCATTGAGAACGTAAATGGTGTGAATTTATGTTTTCATTTTGCGTTAATGATATCGCAACTTATTTTTCTGACCGGTTGGTCAACGAATTTAGAAAGAAAAGAAAAGAATAGAAAATTAAATCATAGAATATATCTAAATAAATGTCAAAATTCTTAAAATGAATTGTTTTCAAGAAAACGTATTTTAAGCTTTTTGATTTTTTTGGACAATCGTGATGGCGGACTAAAAATATCACAAATATACTGTATATCACACTTTTCATTCCTTTTCTTATTCTCTACTAATAAAAATTATTACAGTATATTCTATTTTATGTCTTTGTATAATTCTTATATCGAGAGTTTATAGTATATGAAGTAAAATTATCATGAGAACTCCCCGCAACACTTTTACTATAAATATTTACTCAGCCGTACGATAATATAGAAACAGTGTGGTATGACTCAAAATTACGTACTACTTATTATTAATGTTGTGTAAGGTTGGTTATAAGTAACGATTATTATAGAATTACAACCTTTTAGCGGTTGTAATATTATGGCTGTAAATACTACACTATTGTGGTTAGCTAAAAGATGGTAATTTTGATTTACAACCATTATATTTACTTGACTTTTGGACTTACAATTATTTACGGAGACCAACACTTAATGTTGTGTGACTATGGCACTAATGGCAGGAACATTGTTCACTTTCCCATTACATTTAGAAAAATTGTTACCGCCAAAAAAAATTTAAATTTAGAAATCTTGTTAATTCATTCGAAGTCTATATTTTTTTTCAATAAATATATTTTTTTTTTTCAGCAAAATAAAATTCCAAAACAAAAAAATAAATAACGCTAACATTGTGATACTCTTCTTTTATTCTTATGGCATGTTTTGTCTCCTAAAATAAACATGAACACAAGTAACGAAAATATAAGGATTTACAACTAACTATCTAAATTTTTTACATAACGGATAACCTTTTTTAGGAATAATATATTTTTCAAGGAATTTGAATAATTTTAAGAAAACAACAATAATTTTAAAGTTAGCAGATCTTAGATATACTGGCAAAATAGAACAATCTCTTTTCTGTAAAAAGAATAATATACATGTATATTTCAAAAATAATATTCCTTTTTAATCAAACTATGTAAACTATGTGTAAAATAAATTTTTTATTTTTGTAACACAATTTTACCGGTTATTAACAAAATAAAAAATCTGGTATGTTACATTTGGATTAGAAATTCCAATGCATATTAGGCAGAAAAGTTACAATAAATGAATAAACACTTTCTTATTATTTTTTCTCTCAATACAAATCATAGTACAATGCCAACTAAAAGCAAAAAAAAGCGCCGTGACAACAACTAAAAGACTTCCTGAAACTATAATATCAATTCCAAGAAACTTTTAAGCTTCTATAACACGTGAACGCAAAAGCCATATCAGACATTTGGGAACGAATGTCTGAAAGTGAAAAAATCAAAGATTTATACGCGGAAAATATTGATGGCAAAAAATTGGGCAGTCAGTTTTTCGCTTCGAGCAAACACACGTGAATGCAAAAGTCGCATCAGCTGTCAACTAGGAATTTTAATCGCATCATATCAAACACTTTACACTTTATTTAAGTTCGTAAGTAATTTGTATTACTGTATATAGGCTTATCCACCAAAAAATGGGCATTAATTAGGATATATCACGAGAGTGCCAGAGTGGGTACTGCAATCAATACCGAAATAATCATACCAAAATAAAAAAATTTATGTTACTTAAGAGACTAATTTACCCTTTAATAAGGAACATGAATAATTCAGAAATTCAAAAAACGCGAAAAAATATTTTTTTTTTAAAAAGCATTTATTTTTTTATAATTTTATTATTCCTGAAAGTTATATATAAAACATATCGGTTCTATATAATTAACATATATACACTTACTAACGATTACGAAAATTATCAATGGCGTTCTCGTGAAAATGAAAATGAGTAAATAATGTGTACATCGCTTGTTTACCAATTCCCAATATTTCTCCTTTCATAACGAAAGGTTTATTTACTGCGGAAATGATTTCGATGAACTTTAATATCCAAACTTTAATTCCTTTTTGAACGTGAATTTCTAAGAACAGTTAAGGAAAAGGATTTAGAAATTTAGAGAGTATATCATGTAAGAAAATAAGAAGTTTAATTAAAAATTTTCCAATTAGGTTACGAAACAATTCATATGTTAATCACTGCAGTCTACGAGTAAGTCACTTGAATTCGACGATCGGAAATTATGAATATTTTAGGGGCGTAGCTTTATATTTATTTTTAGTTAGTTATGGACTTATGGTCCTCCACGACCATAAACTGATTATGACAGGAATCAGGATACATAGTTGTCTAATAAATATATTTTTAGCTCATTAATTATACCTCTACCAAGACCTCTTGCAGGTAAAGCTGCGGGACCTAATGGTGCATGCTTCCGAGAATCCGGTATTTTGTCCGCATACAAAATACGAAAGAAAAAAGTCAAATGAGCCTACCCAAAAGGAGAACGAAGCGATAAAAGAACAAGGAAGGTTGAAAATTTTAATGGTAACTTCAATAGGTGAGGAGAAAAATCGGAAAAGTTAATGGTAACCTTAGTGGTTATGAAAGATGACGTTAAGAAATTTTGAGGATATGAGGGATGAACAGAGGTACCTAAGTGGTCAAGGTTGAGAGGTATAAGAGGTTAATTTAATAAACCTTAGCTGTTAGTGGTTAATTGTTTTAATAATCATACCAACCCTAAGAGGGTTTTGGCCTAGCGCCGGATTATTTATCATCCAATGATAATAATGTTTTTATGCATTATAAGCATCAACCAATAATCCTACCTGAGACTATTGCTTGATGACTATTTCGGGAGCTAAATATTATATATATATTAGCAGTTATGCAACTATACATGGGCTTTATGCATTTTTTGGTCAAGTTATGTATGATTAACAAACAAATATTTTATTCAATTATTAATTTCTAAAAGTTAACATTTTACAGCTAAAATTCTGTTACTTTCGCTATAAAACCTATATAAATTATTGTTGTTGTTGAGATAAAGGATTTTGTTGACTTAGATTATTATTATACAAAGTATTATTTGTATCAGAAATACTAGTTGTACTTGATTGTGGTGGAACTGTAATCATTAAACCTTCTTGTTGTTGCTGCGTAGCTGTAGCAGAAATCGGTGTATACATTGAATTTGTATTTAAATTATCAAATCCTACTCTCATATCTCGTATCGTTTGATTATTAAGATTATTCATGACGTCAGTTGTAGAAGTCAAAGTCGCTCTTTCTTTAGATAATTTATCCCGAATACCATTTAAATAATGTACATCAACAACATATTCTTGTAAAAATAATTCCAAACTATCAATTCTTGTTAAAATCAATTTATTTTGTTCAGCTGAAGAAAGAGCATGTTTTGAAGGATGATTTTTAATATCAGGATTTATTGTATCAAAGAATGGAATAGTTGGTAAAGTCTTTTCAAGCTTTTTTTGTGTTAATCGAGAAAATCCGCAGCAATATGATTGTACAACTCCCCATGGTCGTAACGTGTCCGCGCCTATCAAGAAATAAAGTTTTATATATATATAGCATACATATTTATAATTTTTTTATGAAATAAGAAAATTAAACTTACCAAAAAGTAATGCGTATACTGCTGCTGCTAATCCCCACGCACCACCTATTAAACCTACACCACCTAAGTACTATATGTGATTGAATTTCAATTTAATTAATGGAACACTTAAATATTGATAAATAAAGCAATAAATTACTCACCGTACGATTTCTTTTCGAAAAGAAGAAATTATTAATATATAATTAGTGACTAGTAAATAATGATTTACAAACAAATCATACAAAATACAAACAATGATACTCACCTAACTTCTTTGTTTATCTGAACGGTATTACCCTTAGGATGTACACTAAACAATACCGAATTGTTACCCAAATTTATTGGTAATAAAGTTGCCACTAAAAAAAAAAAAAAAAAAAAAAAAAAAANAAAGTTTTATATATATATAGCATACATATTTATAATTTTTTTATGAAAAAAAAAAAAAAAAAAAAAAAAATAAATTAAAATTAAAATTAAAGTTAAAAATTTAGAAAAAAATTTTAGCAATAAAAAACTTACATAAAGTAGATTCAATATGTGATTTATTTTCATAACTAGGAGGAAAACCAAAATCATTCATCCAATTTGGTCTTATAACCTCCTCAATTTTACGATTATATACAAATTGGTAGAGCTACAAAAAAGAGTTCGTTAAAATCTCTGATTTTATAATAGCTAAAATGGTAATAAATTATACCTGGTTTAGAACCAAAGTATACGTGTTCATCGTGATAATTGAATTATCAAAACTTGAAATTGATTTAATAGCTTCTGGAGTAGTTAATTCATAATATCTCTTTTCCTTAATATAGTTAGTAAGAGGATCATAATCTAAATTTATTTATAAATATTATCAAATATTTTAATTAACGGTCCAGGACATCGGACTTCACTTCGGAGGTTTTACTTTAACTTTACCTGAATCGAAAGCTATTATGTCAATCATCGCTTGAATCGGTTGATCAGGAGTGTAATTAACATCATTAATTACAAGTACAATATTTAAATACATCATCCCACTTGCTTTACTATCATATTTATAAAAGAAGACATCTGGTGATGGTTGGTAAAATCCAAAATAAAGTTGGGCTGGCCCATATTTTTCATCAGGGTGAGTTATATCTGACTTACAATCTACCGAAGTAGGTTGTGTAGCATTAATTTCTAAGAATAAAAAAATTAAGAGTGTTTTTAAAAAAATTGTAAATATAATTAAATTTAATTAAAAGTATAATGAACTTACGATAATATTCTTCATGACAGGTTGTTATCGTGAAATTAAAGTTAGATTTAAAAATAAAGCCTAAAAAATTTTACCATTCAATCATTATAATGACTCAATTGACTCATGTAACGAAAAAAAAAAATTGTCAAAATAAATTCGTTAATTACTTGGAGGGGGAATAGCATTAGAATCAACAAAAGAAGTTTTGACGATTGGAGCATCTTGGACTACATCAATTATTACCATAGAGAGATAACCTGTTAAACAAGCTACAAGTATGATCATCATCATAAGTTTTAATAATAAGAGAGTCGTAGGCTCACTACGACGATGTCCACGAAATAATTCTGCTAAATTCATGATTTATAAGTTAAAGAGCAAAATTATCGTGAAAACGTAGTTAATTTATCTCATATGCATTAAGTTCCACAAATTACATTTATTTTTCTATAAAAAGTAATATTACAATAAGATGCATAGTGTCATCATTATAAAACCAAAAAAAAGCTATCCAATTATATTAATTAATATACGGGTTAATCAAATGAATTTTTTAAATAATATTAATTATATAGGAGATAATCTTAATAAGTTATATTATTCAGAAAAAATCCTGAAGAGTTTCATCGACGTTTCATCTCACCGGCGTTCATCTCAATGACACATATGGCAAATTTTCTTGTCGTTGCTGTACTACTGTAATAGGAACCAGTGAGTATATTGAATTCGATTATCAATTATCAAAATCCTCCTCCAATATTTTGTATTCGGATATAAGCGAACTCTAATTTGTACATTTTATCATCATAAATATCCTCCTAATTAGAATCTATTCTATGTAAGCGAATTTTTTTTAACATTATTAAATATTAATATAATTCAATTTCAATTTTGATATATACATTTTTTTTTTACTAGAGATGCGTAAATCATTACTTTCTAATAGATGATACGCGGGGTTAGTAGCAACAATACTGAATACGCATTTCTTTTTGATTTTTTATAACAACAATATATATCATGTAAAACATTTATTCCTTTATGGGCGCGGATACATTACGTTGTACAATTTTATTACTGCAGATTTTCTCGCTTAAAAAAGCTTCCCAATAATTCTCATATATACCCTTCAAAGCACGATTCACCAACTGAATGAATTGATAATTTAGTATTATTTTTTCGGAAGTACATTATTTATATTGTTTAGATGATGGTATTTATAAATTTTGAAACTATGAATATCAAACATTGAGGAGTCTAGATATTCCCATTTTGTAGTTCCAAATTAACTATTTAATATTTATCTATAGAGAATACTAAAATAAGATGTGATTGTTTATTGTGAAACCATGATCATCACTGTGTAAAACGAAAAAAAGAGCGCGACACAAAATTTACATGTGCATGTGTATGATGTGAAAAGAAATTTAAACTAATAAATTCTTGAAAGTACAATAATTTCCACACCCTTTACACCTTCAATTTTTTTTTTCGTTTTTGCTCATCAACACAAAATCAATAATGTATAAAAATTTAAATTATTATATGATACTTATTATATTAAGTCAATTATTTAATATAATAATAGCATATGGACAGAAATTTATACCAGAACCTAGATTGGGAGTTGTATCAGTGCTTATTGAAGATAGAATATATTATATAGGAGGAGATGATCCTAGTAAAACACATTCAGAAGCAAATCCCGAAAATGATATTTTTTATCTTGATCTTAATATTAAAGAAAATTTTTTAACATGGGTAGATTTGAAAGTAAAATTTCCAATTATTTCCGGACATGCTGCCGATGTCGGAGGCATTAATCAAGATTCAATATTTATTATAGGAGGTAACCATTATGATGAAAAAAATACGAATTATTTTTATAGGTTTGATACTAAGACAAATGAATTAAGTGTACCAGTAATTCAAGGAAAGGCACCACCAACACGCGTAGCAAGGAATTCTGTTAGTTATGAAGGAAAAATGTATTTGTTTGGCGGGCGAGCGTATACTCCGGTCGGTTCAGCTTTAATATATGTCAATCAATTGGATATATTTGACACGGTCAACTTAATTTGGCAAGTTGGTAGCATAGTTAATTCTCCCGGTACATTATCCGGATATACGGCAACATTAGTTAATGGAATTATTTATTATATTGGAGGTAGATCACAACAGTATGCTTTTTCTCCAATGACCGAGGTATGTAAATAAAGTTTAATAATAAAGTATTTGGAAATATATTTAATAATTTAGAATAATTATTATAATAGATTTATCAATATGACATTGTCGCTGATAAATGGTCTTTAAAAGTAAGTTGTAACATTGTATCAAAATATTAACGCCACAAAGTTTTAATATAAGGAATTTTGCTAATCTTTTTTTTTTAGAAAGCTACAACTGCAGATACTAATGCTATTCCAGGACCTAGAGCTGCTCATTCAGCTGTCCTATGTAAATTATCTATTCATCTTTTCTTTCTCTTGCTTTTTTTTTTCAAATTATAAAATATTAATTAAATTCTCTCATTTTGTAGTTGATGGTAAAATTTATGTATACGGAGGATTGTACTTTAATGCTGATACACCATATGATGTACCAGCTAAAGAAACATTCGTTATGTTGGATACTGTTACTTTAGTATGGTCGGTACCACCATACAATAGTACTAACGCACCAAAACTTGCTTATCATTCTGCTTCATTAAAAGGAGCACTTCTGATATTCGCTTTTGGTAAGTTGTTTTTTTTTTAAGATATAATTCATGTCGGTGTAATCTTATTTAATTTATTATTATTATTTTTCTTAGGAATACAGACGGATTTGCCGCAAGCTGAAAATAAAAATAATAATTCGACTTATTATTTTTACCTAAATAAACCAATTATTGACTGGAGTTCAGAACCCTTATCAGGAACAAAACAACTAAGCCCATCATCAACGATAAGCATAGTAACAAAAACACCAGATACCCCTACAGAAACAGCTTTACCTTCTTCACAATATACGATGGGTAAAATGGTAATCGTTGGGACATCAGTTGCATCAGTACTAGTTGTTCTAACAATAATTGTAGCATGTTCATTAATTTATAAGCGCATAAAGAGTAATCAGAAAATTAAAAGAGAATCCAATAATCCAGATGGTCAAGGTGCTTTTAACGGAGTCGAAATTCCACCTGATGGTAATAAACATTCATATCTTCAACAATATCCTCCTGTATATCCTCCCGTATATCAACAATTTGCACCCCAACAATTACAACCACATTCTATAACGGGAATGCCGTCACCTCCAATTCAACAGCACTAGGGTATTCATATTTGTTTATCTCACTTTCACAAGCTTACGTTAATTATTATGTAAATTAATCTAATAATTATGTTTAAATTATACTTTAATTAGTTGCTTGTATGGTTTAAAATTTTAAATTCTATTTAATAGTACGATAATTTTTTTTACCATATACATTTATTTAATTTTCTTTCGCGTAACAAACATAAAAAATGTAGAGTGTTCTTTGAAATTTGAATTTACTATAAAGTTCGTATCAATGTCTATTTTTGGTTACATGTTTTGTTTAGTCTTTGCAAGAAAATATTTTATGGATATTTTACGATGTTGTATTTATATTGATTAACGTCATCGTACATTGTACGGCCGCAAATAAACCATCGATATTCAATATTGTACGCAAATAAACTATTGATATCAATATTGTATGATAATGAAAATATCGGTCAAATATATATATTATTGGATATATCACAGGACCGAATGATTGGCTAAAATGGGTCACGTAGTGGCTAATTTCACCAATGAAAGGCAATATAACCCACATCCAAAAATGTTATCGTTCTGACGGTTTTTGATCGTGCATTTAATATTTAATATTTATATCATAAATAAGTTTTCTATAAATTTCATTTTTATGCTATTTTTAATCCACTTTATAAGCTTTATTTAAACTTTTCCTATAAAAAATTTCATTTACACTAAATTTTTCTCCACTTTATTAACTTTATTATATCAATCATGTATTATTGCTATGTCTAATAAAAATAGCGGTCTATGAAAATCTGATCCTATTGGGCTGGACGATAATAAATAATTAAATAAATAAAAATTTTCCACTTCAAAGATCATATTTTATTACATCTTTAGTCGAACACAATGAATTTATTCCAGCTACAATTGATAGTTTATTAATTATTTTTTACAATATATTTTGTTGACGTGCAATTTTTAGATTAATTCGATATAACAAGATTAAAGTGAATTCTACTGATGGTATGAGTATTATGAATCAACTATACCTGGTTAAATAATATCACGTGATATATTTTATCAAATTATGAGATCATATGATGTACATATATGCTTACCATAGTAAATTATGACGTGATACACTCTACCTTTAAAATTATAAGAAAAAAAAGACGTTCTGTAAATTACTCATATAATTTCATGATCCAAAAAATCAAAAATAAATATATATATTCTTATTTTAATATTGTAATACATGTTAAAAATAAATTTCATGACGCGGCCTAGAATTACACGATGACGTTCTATACTATGAACAGTATGAACAAACCAACATACGTCCATTTAACCCTCTTGCTCTTACAATGCCAGACAATCCTCGGACTTTCATGTAAACTCTGCCTGCTAAATTCGATGACAAACGTGCTTAAAATCTCACAGTATAAGGCAGGGAATAGATACCAGTCATGCCGCCGGTCAAAGTCCCATCTTGATTTTGTTTTTTCTTATTGTCATTTGATATTCTGAGCAAAGCACATAGGGACTTTACGATATTTGTCTTCGGTGAAGCAAATAAGATTTCCATTTCTCTGGAAAAATCTATAAGAGGAAGTATTAAAGGATAATAAAAAAAATTTTTGATAATAATAAATATTTACTGATTATAGTAGCTATTCTCTGTTTAATTAAGGACAGAATATTAGATGTTGTTAGGGAAAAATTAGCTAGTGATGATATACAGTACGATTTTTTTACAGTTTACTTACTGATCACGAATTAAAACTCTATGTACGTATTAATTTTAAATTTTCATATTATATAATTTTATATTATCGTAGTATAACTAGGTAACGATGACCGTTAGACGTCCGAAGCGGGCGTCACGCTGCTTTTCCAAAGTAAAATCTTATTAGTGTTATATTTTGCAACGATTTATAAACATTATCCTTATTGTCAAACTCAATTGTTAAAGTTTTTTATTGATAAGGCCGGGCAAAAAAAAAAATTTAGATTCTCGTGACCCGGCCGGGTCATTTTTTATTTTAATTTTATTTCTATTATATAGACAGTGATCAGGAACTACAAACAGAACGAATTACAAGTAAGACGAAACTATAACAAAGCTAATGCAAGTATGTCCAATCCCCCAGAGCAAAAGGAATCGCCACGCCTCTTATTCAAAATGAATCCTAGGCAAGGCCAGATCTACGAACATTAGACGCCGAAAAAAAAAAGAAAAGAATTAAAAGAAAGTACATACGAATGAAAATTAAAAAATTTAGAAAAAAAATTAAAATAACCTAGATATGGACTAATAGAATAAAAAAAGACTGTCTGTTATCACAGTCCTGAATAAATGAAGTCCAACCACCCGCATGTAAATAATTAGATGTAGTGAGGATATCCATCGAGGAACAAAATGATCATTTGGCCTCTGGGGTTGTAGATAAGTGATACGGTAGCGATCATCGTATCGGTCCTGTTGATTTCGAACGCCAAAACAGAAAGGTGGCGTATTAGTCCGATGGAGAGAAGGTAAAGTAGTTTGCGCACGAACGGTTCTTTTCGTTCGTTTGTTGTTCGCCCGACGTTTAGCACGTCGTAGTTTAATTTTCTTTGCGTAAATACCGGTACGCTTTTCCCATGTAACCATGGATTCTGTGTGTCGTCTCCAAACGTGAGTAGAAAAATTCAAATGTATCAACTTCATAACATCCATAACAATAGAGGAAGTATGTGAAGATTTGTGAGTATGAGAGTGAATTAAATCGATAAGAGATTGAGGAACCACACTGTGGATGATCAAGTAAACAGGATGAGTATCGTCAGCCACTAGTGAAAATAATAAAGAATTTTCTAGATCTCGGGTAAAGTCGAATTAGTAAAAAAGGTGGTTTAATTCAGTCGTAAGACGTTTGTAGATAAGTTCTTTCGCGTCCTTAAGGACATTAGTTAATGGTTGAACTAGTTCCGGACAGAAGCCGAGATGTTGATTGTCACCATCCGTTTGCCCGCACAAGGGACACTTGATAGGTAACAAATTGCGAGAATAAAGTGATGGATAGTGGGCCGATAAAACATCGCCACACGGTAAAAAATGATTAAGACTTTTGATTTTAAAAGATTGTTTTTTGGATTTGTCCGAACTACAGACATCTGGTGTATAGTTGTAATGTTGCCAAGTCTTTGTATAGGTCCAAGTGTCCAACTAATATCTTGGACAGGATGATGTTCAAAAATAGATTATAGTTTGTTATTTGAAGTAAACAAATCAAAAGTGATAGCGTCCGTTATATTTTGACAAAATTTTCGTATGTCGCGGTCGATAGGACCGATACAATCCCACATGGGTATCATAGCCCCATCAGGAATGAATTGAGGGTTAATGGTGATCGGGGACGCGTCCAGCGGTCCAGGCCCTTGCCAGCTTCCAAATCAGCTAAATCGTTGTATAAATCGCCCGAGTGCGCCTTAACTTTAAAAAGAAGACAAGTAAGATTCTTTTTTCCAGTTAAATTTTTGATTAAACGCCAAACGTCGTGATTAGGGATTTTGAGAATTTTCCGCATCGATACAAGAGGATCATCAACGCGTTGAAAAGTGTGGACACAGTTCATTGAGTCCGTATAAATCTTAACAACAGAATCGGGTGGAACCACCATTAAAATTGCATAAGCTTCAGCTTTCGAAGATGATGATGGTGATAAAGAAGTTCCTCCGAAGAAAGAAATTTTCAAATCGGAGTTTGTATCATTTTTATGGACCCAACCAAAGCCCATGTTAGTGGTGGTAGTATTACCATAAGACGGGTTGGGATTCCCTGAACCAGGCGGGCGAAAAGCACCATCTGTATAAAAGTTAATTCCTGAAAACCGGAAAAATCTCTGATAAAGTAACGAGTTTAGTAATGGTGATGGGATCCCCTATCAAAAATCGATTGATATCTTGAGATTGAACACTTTGAGAACTTAAAGCTGGAGTTTCATCCGCTAATGATATAATAGGATCAGTAGTATGCGCTACTGCTGGTCGATTGGAATTAGAATTAATTGTAAAAATGTTGAAGGCATTAGCCCTCAAACTAAATAGTGAACGTTATGAAAAGACACAATGTTTAGGCAGAGTTGAAGTGTTGATTTTGGGTTTGAATGACTTTCCATGTATATCGATCTTGTAAAGTTGATGAGTTGCCGTAACTGTGACGCACAAAGGTCTTTGATCGCGGTAGTAGGGTATATGCAACGGACAACCTTTACAGGGTTTTAGAATAGGAGTACAACTCCAGGGAATATTTTGATGTAATTGATCTTCGGTACTGATATGAGGTATAAAATGTTCACGGTAAGTTACCGAAATACAGTTAACTTCGTTAACCCTTTCCATAGATAACATCGTTGTCTAGAGTGGACCATGAAGATGACCATTTTTTTTTTAGGTCGGTGGTATAGTTTATCTACAATTTTAGGGTGTCTGTAAGGGATACTAGTGATTGCAGGTGAAGTTAATGGGTTAACGAGACGGCGAGTTGAGTTAGAAAGCGTCGCCTCGACGGGTCAGTTTTTCGAAAAATGGAAATTTTTTTTTTATAAAAAATTTTATCACGTGATTTTAAGTTTTGGCCAACGTGCGTAAAAAAAATTTTACATATGAAAAAATTTTACATAAATAAAAAAAAATGCCGACCGGGTCATTTTTAAATTTTATGTCACGAGAATCTAAAAATTTTTTTTGCCCGGCCTAAATAGTTTAATAAAATAATTTAACATAATTATAAATTAAATACCGAAATTAAATAATATGTAATTTTAGACTATTTGTAATAATAAATAAAATTTCGTTAATATTTAATCATTGAAATCAATCGCTTTTTTTCAGACAATCTCTTTTTGCAACCTCTTACATTTTTTAATGCGTTGAAGTCTTTCAAACGAAAATGGCTTAAAAAGTAGCACGGACCCTACAATTTTGCGTTTTCTAATGATAAATACAGGCTGGCTATCCATTTTATATTTTTATTTATTATTTTAAGATTTCACAAGATATAAGTTATATTTTTTCATTTATTATATTTTTTCGTTTATTATTAATGAATCTTATATTACATGAAGAAATAATTTAAAAACAACTAAATTTATTATATACATCTTAAGAAGGTTAAACTAAAATTTAATAAAGTCTAAGTAAAGCTTAAATAAAGTATATGCATTGTTATATATGGTCACGCGTATATACGTGTGGGCAGACGAACATTGCATGCTTTTGCGTAGAATGTAAAAGTCCTCCGCTCCGCTTCGGACAATAATTTAATGGTGATGACTTTCTTAAATATGAATTTGAAATGTATAAACATTTTAAATTATACAATAATTACTGAGAGTTTCACGACTTTGATTTTCACAGATTAATAAAATCGTTGAATTATTTAATTTTCGGATGAGTGAATAATTATATATGGATTTTTTTACTTAATAGTTTATCCACATTAATTTATTCATATATATATCTGATATATCAATAACAATGTAGTTACAGTATATTTGAGTTTTTTTTAAAAAAAATGTAAGTATATATAAATAACAGAATATAATTCAGAGATATTAAATGAACATATATAAATATTATACAAGGACGGAGAAGTTTTTTAAAAAATAAAACCTCGCTCTGATAAATTAATGTATTTTGGTACGGTTTAATTTACTTTACGATGGCTATATTTTAAATCGTACATTTATTTTCATCATCTCACAAATCATTGATTTTTTATCTTAGAATCGTTTTTATTTTTCAAAATTTTAAGAATTAACTATTATTAATTCTCAAATATTTTTTCGACTATAGGGACTCTTTTACGTATAGCAAAACCTAGATTACGTCTAGGGATGGAATCGGTTCAAAATGAGTCGACTCGAGTCGATTCTAGAACCGATCTTAAATTTAAAAGATTCTGGATCTCTTGGGCTTAAAACTACTTTTAATCATAAAAACCGTTCTGAACTTCAACCGGACTACTTCAAGAACTGACTCAAATTGAGTCATCTGACGATTACACACCAACTATCATTTGAAGGCCAATCAAAATTTTTCTGATTGATCATAATCACATGCTCTACTTGTGTCTTAAATATAGCTCACCGACGAACCGATTTCCATCCCTAATTACGTCATAATTTAAATCTAAGTTTTGAATAAAAACAATCTGGCGAATGAGGAAATGTGAAATATCTCGTGACCCATATTTTTTTTTTTTTTTTCTTACGAATTCATACAAGAATTAAACAAATTTCAGTTTAATTTTATTATATTTATTATATTTATTATCGATTTAAAATAAAAAGTCTAAGATAAATATAATTATATGTAGCCTCTATGTATTCTATTTAAGAAACAATTACAGTATCATTACCTTGGATTTGGACAATGTCCAATTGATTTAATTGGATATTGGGCATCCAATTGGACAATTGGACATATATCCAAATCCAATTGGACAATGTCCATATTGTTCAAATCATATAATATAAAAAATAATTGGACAATTGGACATACTGTATGTCCAATTGAATATCCAATTGGATGTCCAAATGTCCAATTGAACAAATTTCCAACACTGAATTCATTACAGACAAAAAAAAGCTTAAATTACGATGTTAAATTTTATTGTAATAAATTCGAAGGTATTTTTTCGAAAATACTGTATATGTTTTATATCTTATAATTTATAAATCATTAAGAATTGAACGTGTAAAATTATAATAGATCCAAAATAAAAACTTTATACATGTACGTATATATATATATATATATTAATTGAACCTGATAAAGCAAAAAAAAACAAAAAATTTTAATTTTAAGACGAAAAAAGTTGACTGCTAATAAAATCAGATGATATACTCCATAAGAGTCATGTATTTTTTCCCGACCACACATTACGACTATAATTTCGTATTATCCTTACGGAAATTCTGAATTCCGCATCAGTGTCTTATGTTTATTGCAAACCTCTTGTAGCAATGCTTTAATACATATGATCAAAGATATTTTAATCGCGCGTTATATATTTTAAACTTCGAAAATTTATTCGACGTTTATTAAAACAGGACGCCCAATATTACTAGTATTTATATCAAAAAAATTTTATTTAAGGATATTTATTATTTATATATGACTACAATCATATTTAATTTATTACAGTAAGCGAAAAAGAACATTGTAAAGTGCGGAAAGTGTTGTAATTCGTTAGACGCAATAACTAATCGTGAAATTAATTCAATATTTTTTTAAAACGAAAAAAAATAAACATTCAAAGAAAACTAATTAGAACTACGTTAGATTAACGTTAATATAGTATCCTGTAAGTATAAGTAAGTCATAAAAAAAAAATAATCCGTTTTTAATCCTTCCTAATTTATACAACTCCGTTACAAATAATAGTAATAATAGTAATAATAGTAATAATAAAATTCCACCAAATAGAATATATATATATAGTAGATATAATAGGTTTTTAATTATTAATAGCACCAATATTAATCTTCATATGTGAATATTAAGATTTAGATAAAGCGAATTCAATTCGTAGAATACGTTGGGTAATAATAAGTTTGACTTATTTTTAAGTAGAGAAGCATCTGATGCAACTTCTACTACCTCAACTATATATACTGCCAATACTACAATATCGATTACTACTACTGCATTAAAAGCAATAATAACAACAGGTCTAACAGTGGAAGTTGATAGGTTCATTTTGATTAGATTTGTTTTTAAGCTTTTCGAGAATTGATTTGTTTGATTTTTTTTTGATTTATTTGATATAAGTGTGATTTGTTTTTGTTCTTGAACCTTTTTTTATTACAAGGGCGAAATCAAAGCGTATTTATAAAACAAATTTTAGACGTTCAAGTCATATGATTAAAGCATAGATTAATTTATTTTTCGCCATTATCTCCTTTCCTACATATTGCATAACTCATTTTTAATGTCTAACTATCTTAAGTAATTTATTTTTCACCGTTATCTCTTTCCTACGCATTGCATTGTTCATTTTTAATATTATTCTCCCGTTAATATTATTATTACTTATCTTTTTTATCTTTTGTAGTTTATTTTTAACCTTTGCCATTATCTTCCTTTTCTAAGCATTAATATTCTCCCGGTGATGTTTTTATTTTTTTTTTATCTTTTATGTAGTTAATTTTTAACCTTCGCCATTATTTTCTTTTCTGAGCATTGCATTGTTCATTCTTAATAATGGGTTTCATTTTTTTACCTTTACGTAATTTAATTTTAACCTTTACCATTATCTTCTTTTCTAAGCATTGCATTGTTCGTTTTTAATATTCTCCCGTTGACGTTTCAAATATAACAATTTTAAAATAGTACTATGCAGTCTTTACTATTTTTTTGCTCGACCAATCAATGGTGATGGATTTGCGGATGATCACATGCCTATTTATAATCACAATTGCAAGTATGAATAATACTTACCGTACAACTAATAAACGCACTATAAGAGCCCTGTTATTAGCTTTGTTTAATGAATTAAATAGATATAAATTAAATAGACAATACGATAAAAATCAATTTATTTATATTCAAATATACGAAAATATCTTCAAAGAAAATATTTACTAAATAATATGCCTTTCATTAAGATTTTAATTTATATTGAATATTAATAGGAAAAAATTCCCAATAAATATTAAGTAATTTTGGAAAATGCAGTACTTATTTTACCCGTTAATTACAGGATTGACCCGCCGCTTCTTATAGTAGGTATCTGCTATAGTAAACAACAGGTATCTGCCAAAGTAAACGGCAGGTACCCGATACTTTTTCAGCGGTCTCCTGATCTTTTTTTTGGGGTATATTATAATTAATTTTGGCCGAATCTTTAAATTTCTTTCCATATTTGAAAATTCGGATTAATTTTATATTATGGCGGATTTATGAAATACCCCAAAATTTGTGCGTCATGTCAAATTAAATAAATATTTGACAGTGTTTTAGTTATTTAAGTCTCAAATTTATTAATGAACAGCCAAAATGAGCTCTAAAAAATTTTTTTGTACCCCCGAATCTTGCGTCTAACCAATTTTTCCAGTGTTAAAGGCGCGTCATTATTTGACATTTTTTAGGAAAAGAGCTTAATGTTTCTGTAATTCAATTTTAATTCCCAAGTGCGTAGCAGGGTTTTTGCCAAATTTCATAAATCCGCCGCAATGAATTATTAGTGGACTTGTTTTTCCATAACAGAGGTATTAGCGAATACCTGCTGTAATTAACAGCGGGTACCTTCCGTTTCTTATGACGAGTACCCTTCATAACATATAACGTATACAACGCTATGAAATATAGCGTATTTAACGTTATTTTTTGCGACATGTTACCCT